CTGATAAATTTATTATCCTCTACAAGCATTGAAGAAAGCAGCTGAAAATTAAGATGAAATGACATCTGTTCTGTTTCATTCCTTTTGTAAGTCACTAGCTGTCGCTAACTTGTTTACAGATATAAGCAAAGTCATGTTCATATTCTTGGATCGTGTTGCTTCCCTTGGGGACATGACTACACTTCTTCAAAAGAGAAAGCTAAAGATTGGCAAACGTGTCTAGATTGTGTTCCTTCATTTTAGGATTCTGCTAACAGGAGTGGGAATAATTTTTCCACTACTGTTTTCAGTCAATATACCTTGAGTTAATCATTTTCGGTACAGGTTCTGCTGGGATCAGTTTGTTTTGCTGTAGTGGTGGTCTGCCATAGTAGTTTTGGTTTGTTTACATGGCTTTTGTGGCTTGACAGCAATTTCGTTTCAGTTAGAACATATCTTCAGGTTAAGCATATCTAGTTTCTCTGCATTGACTGTTCTTCCAAGCAGAGTTGAGTTAGACTCTGGGTCTGGAAAACTGGGTTTTTCAGTTGCATTTTTCAGATACTTAGGAAGAGCAAGGTCTCTTCAGAAGTTGGGGGGAATTTTAATTAGTAATAAAGGAAAAATACAACATTACTGCTGCAAAATAGGATACGAGCTTCAGCTTCAGATATTTATGTTAGAAATATTTCATATATATTTCTTCAGAAGGTCAGAAGTTTCGTTCAGAGCTGTCAGGGGTGTTTCTGTCTGTGGTCATGCTAATGCTCTCGTTCAGGCGTTAGAAGGTCTGCTTCCAAGGGAATTCAGGAGTTTCTCAAGATCACTGCTGTAACTGGGAGGGTGGGGTTCTGTGCGTTGCTTTAATTTTAGGAGTCATCAAGGAGGGTCACAGGGCTGCTCTGTACAGCCTGGTTGTTACTTGACACTTTTTTTTTTGACGTCTTAGGGGAGAAGAGCAAGGCAGCCGTGGTTTGGCTGATGACTCTCAGTGTTAGGAAGGGAATACTTGCAACTCCAGCTCCTTGACACCACCTTAGTTTTAAAAACAGAGCCCTTGCTTTGTAGATCTAGTGTGAGTATACTTCTGATCATTCTCTAACCCAGCTCTTATTATTAATAATTGCATTTTGGTTTGTTTGTTTGTTTTTCTGAGAAAAAAGTTACAATCCACTTCTTGGAACCGAGTTGGAGATTATTGAGGTTGTACAGGCAGGTCTTGGTTTAAAAACAAAAACAAAAAGGAAGCCTTTTATTGTCAGTTTCATTGTATGATGAAAAGTGTTTGGCCTCCAACTGCAGCTGTATGGCAACAAATGTTGTAGCTCAGTGGCTGATGGAATCAGTAGGGCTGGGACACTTACAGAAAGTGGTAGCCAGGAATCTCATCTACTTCCAGATGCAGACATCACAGGCTCTTGGTTTAGAATAGGCATTCCAATTCATGGATTGTAAATTCATAGATTAGAATGCCAGAAGAGATCATTTTGTAATGCTGCCCAGCCACCAAGAACATGGTATTCCAATAGCAATTGCACCACTGCCAAAAGGAAAGGTAATGCAGTTTCTCTGCTTCTACCTGCTATTTCCATTTATATGCACAAATACCACACTAGGCATAGCAGCCAGTGGACTGAAACTGTTTTCAGGCACTTCCACCTGGTTTCTAGCATAGATATCTCCCATCCAAGACTTCTCTTGCACACTGGCCACCTGGCAAGAGCAGGCAGAAATGCATTTGAGCATCCATCCCTATTCAAACATATTGTGAATCTAGGTGCAAGCAAAGAGTTCCTGCTGCAGATACTAAGCAGCCTCATAACTGCATGACTGTTCTGGATGGAAATTGTTTCCATCTTGGGATATTTCAGCTTTCCAGAAGTGAGGAGCCTTGAAATGGCTGAGCACTTTGGAAGGTGAATTTATTTCTTAATTTTTTTTTAGTAATTTCTTCTGAAAATGACAAAGACTGTGTTCTCTTCTGCTAATTTGTTCATAATAATTATTATTGTACCTTAAAGATATGATTTGTATCAGCATGTGATTGTTAACACTGGTGGGACATAAAAGCTTCTTGATCTGTTGTATTGATGAAGTGGTTTTGTTCACATACTGTAGAGTAGTAATCAAAGTATGCCACTTCTATACAAGCATACAATATCACAAGTAGGTTGGCAATAAAAAGCTTGGAAAGGTATTTTTTGAATAAAACAATGTGGTGGGAAAAAAGAAAGATTATTTATTTATTTGTTAGCTTAAGTTCCTTTGACTCCTTCTGGTATTGGGACATCATGTACCTTCAGATTTTGATTATTAGAAGTCTGCCTAGCGTGGTTCCTGGTGCTCTTGAAAGAAGTGTTACAGGTCTTTCCTTATCTTACATCAAAGTTTGTTTCCAGCTGGGAATGACAGGCATTTCAGGTTGCTGAGTTTAAACCTTCTGAATTTTAGAAGAAAAGAGGTAGAAGTTGAAGTAGCACGAGGTAACAAAGCATTCCTTAGCAAAATGCAGTGAAGTGATGCATATTTAATGCTGTTAATAAAACCTCAACTTAGAGAGTTATCGAAGGTAATAAAAATGGATTTGTTAAGCATGAAGGCAGTGCTTTCATAAGACTGAATACTAATTTTCCACTGCAGGCTGCAAATGACTTCAGTGAAAGTTATTTTTTCTTGGTACTTGCTTTGTATGTGGAGACCTTTAACACCTACCAAGTACTGTTAAAAATGAGCATTTACCAGCTCTGAAGTACAGCAGGCATGAAGAACATCAGCTGTGGCCATGCAGACAAATAGTGTTGATGAGTCTAGGCAGTGCTTGCAAAGGGAGGGTTTGTAACTGCTGTCATTGTTTGGCACGCTGAACACTTTGTAGTTCTCAAATCCCACTTCGTTGCTGGTGTTTGTTGCTGTAATTGAAGGAAGTTTGAAGTGGATGCTAATGTTGCAGATGTTGCTGCCATCCCAGCTGTAGTCGTAACTTTTCGAAGCTTCAGCAGCTCCCTGTGTGGCTCCCTCTTGGGATCAGAACTTTCCACACCAGGGTGGTTGAATGGGAATTCTCATGCTTCCCGCATTTTGGAAATTAATGCAAAGTTATTTCTGGCCATAGCATTGCTCACAGTGCAGATGATGTCAAAGTAACACTGGTGTTTAACCTCTAAAAAGTTGTCACCTTAATGCTCCCATTTCTAGAGAAAGTTTTTCAGAATCGTGGCAGAAAGCAGAGATATGACCTGGAAAGGTGCTAACTGTGAAAGGTGTATAAAATTCCTGTGGGATTTTTGGGCAGTACAGTGGTTCACAGCAGGGATTCTGTGAGCTGAGTCTGGATATTAAATGGAAGCTCTGTGCACAGGGCTGTTTGTACTGTGCCCAGTAGTTCTCTGGACTTCCAAACGTGTTCATGTTCCAATGAAGCCTGAGTAAGCTTTCAAGCTCCCATTCATTAATAAAAAAGGGGGAAAAAAAGCTCATATAGGCCCTAGATTGACTCTCAGAACTTTGGTAACATTAGAAAAGGAGTAGATGTCTTTAGTGTCTGAGCTATTAGACTACCAGCTTGTCAGAACATCTATGAAACTCAAGGTGAGAAATGTGTCTGATTTACTAAGACAAAAGATAGCAATTAGAAAGTGTCCCATCAGACTGGTTATGTTTTGCATGTTTAATCATATATATTGGACAATTCAATGCTCTGCCTCCACTTCACTTGCGTTTGTAGAAATGTATGAAGTTCAGCTGTAAAAAATATACTCAAGACACTCCTTTGAGAAAGGCAGACCAGCATGCAAAAGCAGTTCAAGAGCAGTCAATTCTAGCTTTAGACCAGGAAAATGCTGTTTTTGAAGGTATGTTGTGAAATTCTTCTTCTATAATGTCTACTCAGGGGGCTAAAAGTGGCTTCAAAGATTTTGGCAATGACAGGATGCATCATATCTGCTGATATTTCTGTGCATCAGCAGGTTTTGTATATGCATGCTCTCACAGCTGATTGATAAAGGAGTTAAAATTAATGTGTGTTCTTAAGCACTTGCTGAAGAAAGACAGCACTTGGGCATCATTTGTTTAGGAAATTCTTGATAATCGCAGCAAAAATAAACACTATGCTTGTTAAAACTAGACCTTTAATAAGTCTTTGTTGTTTAATTCAGATCAATGCACGCTCTTGACTTACTCACCTCTTCCCAAGTCTGAGTTGTCTCATTGCCCTCCTTTGAAGCCTTTTGGGAAAAATCAGTTTCTTGAGAAAATACAAACTCTGCTCTCAGGTCTGCCAGATGATCACCGAAGTCAGGAATTGCAGCAGGCTCTGTTGAGAGGTGGTGGTGTGAAGTGGGATGATGATCATCCTTTGACCAGGATACTGCGTGAAGCTGCAAAGATGTTCCTAACGTTACAGCAGCGTTTGCTTTGTGGGTGGGAAAGGAGTGCTTCCATTCAAGGCCAGGTTGGATGGGGCCCTGGGCAGCCTGGTCTCGTATTAAAAGTGGAGGTTGGTGGCCCTGCATGTGGCAGGGGGGTTGGGGATTCATGATCCTTGAGGTCCCTTCCAACCCTGGCCAGTCTGTGATTCTGTGAAGAGGAAATACTGGAGTTGTAGCCTTAACCCCATAGCACTGGCTGAATACAGGTTGTGCCCCAGTATTGTGGATTTGCATTCTGGTATATCGGAGTCAGGACCCTATGGGTACATGTTAAGTTCAGTTTTGTTCCCAGAAAGTTTCAGGTTTCTTTTTCTTGCTATCACTTACATTCACTCTTGCTGTGACCCACTTCTGCCTTGACTCCATCCATGGTGTAGTTCTACTTTCCAAACCTACACAGAGCTGCTGACATCTCACGTTGGTCCTGTCTGAGCCATTTTGCACAGTACCACAGTAGTTCAAGTCACTGTAAGGTGGATAAAATTATGACCATTCATGCAAATAATAAAAAAAAAGATTATAATATCACATTATTTGCTGAGAATTTAGAGTGAAGATATAAGGCAGTTAACCCTTTGGTTCTTTCTGTTTCAGGGTGGCAACAACGCAGGTCATACTGTGGTTGTCGACGGGAAAGAATATGATTTCCACCTGTTCCCTAGTGGCATTATTAATCCAAAGGCAATTTCTTTTATCGGTAAGACCAATTTGGAGCTTGTTTTAACAAGCAGTGCTACTCGGCAGGTAGCTGCAACCATCGTTTATAGTAACAAGAGAAGAAAAGCATATGTGACTGTTAGAAATTCATTTTAGCTTCAGCTGTTTGACTTCTTGCTTTCATTATAAACTCAAACTGTGTAAGCTGATGCTATATTTCACCATAATGATATTCGATGCAAATAACATCATTAAAAGCTTACTTACTGGGCATTAAACTCTTATTTAAGTGATAGGCTTAAGTTGAAACTTTGCACTTGTCCAAAATTATAGCTCTTTCTGAAAGAAAAACTGCATGCAATATGTGCAAGAAATGAGTGCATTCTAGTGAGTCACAGATCTGTAATTTCGGTTTTGCTGCATTTGATAATTTCTGAATGCATGTTTGAAATACGAGAAACTTCTTGGTTTTCACTAAATACGGTGTATTATCTTGCTTTCCAACTTATTCTCTTGTCAAACAGTAAAGAGTTTAACTGAGTTATCCTAAATTTAGGCAGAGAGAGACTGTTGCAGATATTTCCGATGTTCCCAAGAAGGAAGCAGCAGCTGTTTCCAACCCACTAAATCATTAATCCACATCTCATCAGTAATGTTCTGTACTGCTTGTGGATTTTGAACTGTAGCTCAATAGCAGGGTGAAGGCATTGCTAATGCGTTACAGTGTTAGTGTCAGCTGAGTTTAAGCTAAATTCATGAATGCTGAAGAAAATGTAAATGCTGTCACACAGACTTGTGGTATTGTAAGGCAACAGACTCCTTTGAGCTTTCACCCGAGAACAATTGAGACTAAATTCCTGGTGCAAAGTCCACCACAAACAAAGGAAAGAATCTGCTGAACTCAGCTGACTTTGCAGCAGCCCATATGCTCACATCTGCAATAAGCAAGTAGTTTTGTCTGATTGTAGCAGACTTACAGCTGCTTATCCAGAATGGAGATCTATCCCCAAAAATCTCAAGATCGCATGGTGAGAAATGTGAGAAACCTTGTCTTCCTTTTTAAATAAAATTTCAGACAGCGAGAGTTTACATGCTTCACACCCTCAGAATGAATATTTTATTACTTGCTTTAAAACAAACTGTTTATCTTCCTGAAGGTAATGGAGTGGTTATACATTTACCAGGCCTGTTTGAAGAAGCTGAAAAGAATGAAAAGAAAGGTTTGTATCATTTCTTTATGCTAGCAGCTAGTACGAAGGGATTTGTGAGCCTTGGTTTATTCAGTGCAGTAACCTTCTGAATTTTGAGTAATGGAAGGGACAGTATTAAAAATGCTGAACTGTGTTGTAGCCTTAAGGCAGGTTTTTCAAAAGCAATTTTTTCACGGGGCCTCATGGATTTTTATGTCCTTTGAAACTGCGTCGGCTAGAAAATGAAATCCATACTAAAGTGAGAAAGGTGACAATAGCATGTAGGGAAAACATGTAAAAAAGAACAGAAATTCAAATCTCAAAGTGTGACCAATCAGAGCAGCTGGAATCCTCCTTTTTAAACTACATTTTTATTTTTTTTGAACAGGTTTAAAAGAGTGGGAGAAAAGACTGATCATATCAGATAGAGCACATATAGGTAAGTGATGTTTGAAGGGTGGAGAAGACTCAAATCAGTGCTTAACTTGTGGCGCTGAACTACATTATCACTCTACAGTGCGAACATGTATTTGATCTAATATTTCTTTTCTGTGTTGTGTACCTGCAACAGGATTTGTATCTGCTAAAGAATGATGCTTTACATGTTTTCGTGGTGTTAAAGCAGTACTAGCTCTCTTTTCACACATGAGGTTCTTAAGCTAATAACAAACACACTTGTCTGTGACTTAAAGAATGCTTTCCTCCTGTGGTCTGTCATTATGTCTTTGGCTCTCCATTGCAGTGTTTGACTTTCACCAGGCAGTAGATGGGCTCCAAGAAGTGCAACGTCAGGCCCAAGAAGGAAAAAAGTAAGTCTTCAGCACTTTCATTTCAATAATAATTATGCAAATTTGAACAACTAGCACGATGTTGGGAAACAGAAGTGCAATATATCTGTAAGGAGCCTTGCTGATTTGATAGTTCTATGACTCTGTTCTGCTCCTATTTGTTTTAGTGTACAAATTATGCTAAATTGGGGTATTACCAAGGATGTGAATTCTTTGTAATTCTCTTTTCCAGTTCTCTGCAGCACATAAAGGCACTTTGAAATTCCTCACAAATCCTTAAATCTTATTTGTGTTGAAGTGATGCTTCCATTGTTCCTACATACCAGACTAGTAATGATTTTTTGACTTCAGTTAGAAGTGTTGACAGGATTAGGTTACGTGCTGATCATTGTTTATTGTATATTCAGTTAAACTTCATGGGAATAATAGTCTCTATTTTAATTTTAATAGTGCACAGTAACACGGTATGTAGTTATTCATTCTTCATGATTCTGTTTTTAGAAAAAACAAGGGTTTATATGAACACGCTATTATTCTGTCAGCTAGTCTCCTATTAATCTTCATAGACAGAGATCCCAATAAGTTTTTCTAAAACACACATGAAAGTAGGCATGCAGGTAGGGAAGCCGCTCCATTTTTGTCTTTTTATCCAAGGTAAATGCTCCAGCAGGAGTTCTTTAGCTGTAGTTTTGTTCAGACTCAGCTACTGGTTTCAAAGCCATAGGAGAGCAGTTTGATACCTCACCAAACTGGTTGTTTACAACCATGGGCAGTGGTTCAGCTATGAAAATGTGAAAAATACATTTGTTTTCTTTTGTTTTCAATAAGTATGACAAGAAAGTAGAGTAACCATCATTTCTATGTAAAATATGTACATACACACATGCTCCTACTCAACCTGTTTCAGTCAGATCCAAGGCTTAATACTTCACTGCATACTGTGAATATTACCAATATTATGCAAGTCCACTGAAGCATGAAATCTGCTGTATACTTATTATTAGGGAACATTAAAGCTTTTTTTTCTTGTCTCAGAGCTCCTGCTCAGCATGTAGCATAGCAGAGAGCTGTAACAAACTACTTAGCGTGAGGGATGTTTTGGCATGTGTTAATAGACATCTGGGGGGGCTCTTTTCAATTAGTATTGGCACGACGAAGAAAGGGATTGGACCAACGTACTCTTCCAAAGCTGCACGAACAGGCCTTCGAATTTGTGACCTCCTTTCTGACTTTGATGAATTTTCTTCAAGGTACAACTAGTTTCATTTCTAAATATTATGTTAAAGAGTGATGTGTTTTGGCTGGCAGGTTTATTTTTAAGGAGATGTTTTTCAAAACGTGTCTGGTCTGAATTTTATATATAAATTATCCAGGAGAAGAAAACTGGAAAGAATGCATGTGTATTTCCTTTACTTTTCTGTCGTTTAAAATGCAACAGGAAATGTGCCGGTTGAGATATTAAAGTTCTGTGTATTTTCTTTACATAGCTGTCAGTGTATGCAGTATCTAGTATAACATCACCTCTTGCCAAAGGTTCTCAGTAGCAGTAACTCAGAGTGTTCTTCATAGATATGATTTAAATATTTTACAGATTTAAAAATCTGGCACAACAATACAAGTCAATGTTTCCAACACTGGAAATAGACATAGAGGGACAACTGAAAAAGCTGAAGGTAAGGAAGTACTCTGATTTGCAATTGAATATTCTTCTTGTGAGCATTAAATGCATTCTGTAATTGATACAATTATTTTTTGCATTAAAAAAAAATACTTTGCTGTGTTAAAGCAGTCAAGAGACTTCAGAGTGAGTCAGTTAACAGTGTGATTCCAGCCAGACCTAGGCTGCTTCAATTCTTACTGAGGAAATGCTTGTGGAAGCTGTGTTTCAAGATCCAGGTTTCACTCATAGAAGACGTTTTTCTAATAAATTCCAAAGATCCCCTGGTAAAATATCTTTGAATAGGGAAGAAAAGATGACACAGAAAAAATCTCGTTTGTTTCCCAAGTTGTGCCTGGTACTTGTTCAGAGCAAACATCCTACTTTTAAAGATACCTCCTTATTGTTCATGAGAAGTGTTTTGGTTTGTTTTCTTTTGTTTGTTTTCCCTCTGGAGCTTGCACTGTTTCTAAGTCTCAGTCTCATCTATACGTTCCTCAGCATGTCTGCACTATAGGCCATCAATAAAATGAGGTAGGTGTGCATCATCTCTGTGAACAGGAATGCTGCAGAAAATACAGCATTCCAATGCCCTAACAACTTGTGCACTCTTATTAGCAGTTCAGTGTATTAATTTGTTAGTAAATATGAGCTAATAGTGTCTTTTTCAGATAAAATGCATCTAGGGAAGCTGGTGCACTAGGGTTTATCTGTATCTGTATGTTTTGCTCTTCAAAAGTGATCACCATTCTTCTAGCAATTCAGCTATTGTTTGGGAAGGCTGATGTTTACACTCACATTTGCAGGGTTATGCTGAAAAAATAAGACCCATGGTTCGAGATGGTGTGTATTTTATGTATGAAGCTCTTCATGGCTCCCCAAAGAAGATTCTTGTTGAAGGAGCCAATGCAGCATTACTTGATATTGACTTTGGTATGTTGGATTGTGAACTTGAGTGAAGTCCTAAGAGACTCATTTTATTTTGATTTGTATTTATAATTGCTGGGCAAAGAATAGGAAAATAATAACTAATAATAAACTGAAGTTTATTCCTGTGGGGCTGAAATTTCAGTCCTAGGTATTCTTTTGTTACTCTTGCATGTTTGTGCACCTTGCCACACAGACCAGGCAGACATTGTGGTGCTGCTGAGAGTATTTCCTCTGCAGTGGAGAGAGGATTAAACCAGTGCAGATAACTTATAAGCTTAACTTCTTCAGTTGATCTCTACTCTGCTCTATTACCAAAAGTCTAATTAAACCACTTAACTCTCCATGAAGATGAAACAAAGAAGGAGAGAGGTGCTACAATCCAGTCACAGTGTAGCCATCATGAGTAATCTCTGCAGGTTTAGAAAATATTCAGCAGATACTCAGAGCTGCCTGTGTAAGGCACTGGAAATGTCACACTGTGACCTTTATGTGAGACTCTGTGGATGCTGCAGAAATACTTTATGTGATACATAGGACAATGAAAAAAGCTTTACACAACGACAGGCATCCTTTAATAGAGCAAGTGCCTGATGGAAGTAATACTGAGATGCTTTTAAATTTCTCCCCTGTGAGCAGTCCTCAGTGAAAGTTACAAAAGATGAATGCAGGAAAACTTGCACATTGGAAACAGGTCATGCATACTTGATAAAGCAGGACGTTTTCTTATTTGGCTCTGTGAAATTGTTGATCAGTAACTGTGTGCTTATACAAAATGCTGAGATAAATTGGGTGCATGAGCAGAAAGGACCATTCATTTGATGGGAGTGGGAGTTATCTATGGAGCTTTAGACATCTGAATGTGTATAATTAACTATAGGAGGAAGCAACTTGGGGAAGAACTACTGACTTTGTTCTTCTGAAGGCAAAAAGGGGGCAAGCAGTAAAGAGAACTTACCCTCTTCAACTGCTGCTGCAGTTCAGCTTTAGAGCCAAGCATACAGAGGAAAGCTTCCTTTCAACTAAGAGAGAAAGTCATTCTTTGGTTTTTGTCATTGCTGAAACAGAGCTGTGCTGTTTTGTTTCTCTGACAGGCACGTACCCTTTTGTGACTTCATCAAACTGCACTGTAGGCGGTGTATGCACAGGACTTGGTGTTCCTCCCCAGCACGTTGGTGATGTGTATGGTGTTGTGAAGGCATATACTACTCGGGTGGGAATCGGAGCCTTCCCCACTGAGCAGATTAACGTAGGTTTACTATTACAAAATGCAGTATACGTGGTTGCCAAGAAATAAGTTTGAGGGATGAGGGTATACTACAAATAAATAAGCACTGTAACAGAACCAGGGTGTTGCACTCATGAAGACAGAGGAGTTACGTGATAAATTTCAGTCATTTTTCTTCAGAGGAAAGGAACACAGGTGTGATGCTATTAGATTACCGTGATGGCTCTGCTGTAATGAATGATGTCAAAAACAAATTTCATCATTTTTTGTGATCTAGGGTTTTTCAGTGGCAAGAATGTGCTGTATAGAAGCTGTTGGTGCATCTCAAGGAGTTTAAATTACAAGATACAACTGTCATGCTTAGCAGCCTATGTTCCATATGAGTTATTGAAAAATGTTGGTGCGTGCGTCAGCTAGTCTGCACGAATGGATCAGAAAAAGAGGAGAAGAGCTTTCAGTTCTTTTGAAACTGTTTTCTGGTTTCTTGATAATGAAAATATTGTCCAGTAAGTTCAGCGTATTGATAATGAGCTATGCACACAGCATTCTCCAGGTCAGTGATCTGAATTTGATTTAAAGCTGTATTCACTAAAATCCATTCTCTAATGGCTGCAAATGAATTGATGATGTCCTCTAGTTTTATGGATCACACGAGTAAAGCTTTAGCTTCACTTTTTTCAACCAAAAAAAACCAATAAACGTTGCCAGTATCAAAGGGAGCAGTTGGCAAACTCGTACTGTGGTAGGACCTAGGAGGCCTGAGCACAGACAAGACATTTGTTATCCTAGACATCACACAAGCATTGGTCTGCCCCAAACATGTACAGTAGATGCCAAAAGACCAGATGAAGAAATGGAAAGCAAACTCTTAGAAGAAAAGATAGGTATATTGATTAAGCATTTTGCAAATGCTGGTGACTGAGATACAAGAATCCTGTGCATGAGGGGCTTCGCTCTCCAACTAAGTCACCTTTGAAGTGTTCCTTCTGTCTTATTTTAGGAAATTGGAGATCTTTTACAGTCCCGTGGCCACGAGTGGGGAGTAACTACAGGCAGAAAGAGGCGCTGTGGCTGGTTAGATCTTGTCATTTTGAAATATGCTCATATGATCAACGGATTCACTGCGTAAGCATCACAGATTTTGCGCTACATTTGGAAGTGATTATTTTGTGCTTCGCAGAATAAATATGTAGGTAACATTAATATAAGTCAGTAAAGTGTTACATTTAAAGCAATTAATTCACAGTGGGCAACTGAAAATTGTATACAGTGATTGACAGTGGGCAAGTAAAAGTGGTCTTCATGCTGATAATAAACTTACCTTCTTAGACTTTTTCAGTGATTTTACACCATCATTAAAGTGATTTTTTTTCTTCATAAATGTTTTCCCTTCGTTTACATCAGACGACCGGTGTAGTTTGGATCAATGCATCAGTTTTCACACAAAGTGATTGTTTTGGTGTTCTTGATCCAGTGCTTTCCAGCTGTCTTAGCTAGAAGCCAGTGGTTTGGGGCTTTAACTGGCTTTAGTGGATCAGACTTGGATGAGCACTTCTCCGCGTACGACTTCTGTAAGAGGAATAAATGGGGTCACACAAAGTGTACAGCAGCTGGCACAGCTCAGACAGGTTCATTTATCTAGAAAAATATATCACTATATTGCATTATAAATGCTGCTTTTATTTTAATTGGGAGTGAATTACATGTTTGGTTAGTAAGTTGTTTTATAATTGAAAATGTACTTCAACATTTTAAAGGAACTAGTCAAGATTGTAAAGCCATTAGCCTGGTTTGTCTAATGCTGTAACACTGGTAACTATAAAAGAAGCCAGTAATTTAAAATTACAGTCCATATTTCCAGAAAGCTGCAAAAGTTTCATAACAGTTGTGTTCATATGAGGCGTAGATTTTGCATTCAGGTGTACTCTTTGCATTCAGGCACATTATTCAGGTGTACAGACTATGGGTATTTTGATGTCTTAGAAACCAAGACTTAACTGGTATTGTTTATGCCAGTAGTGCTAGAATGGAACAATATCCAGAATGATCTCTGTTCATTAATTTATCAGAAGGGTTTTTAAAATACTTTGCTTGGTTTTATACTTTGCTTTCTCTTAAAACAGCTCTTGTTAATGTGGAAATATTTGTTAAGAGAGCATTATATTTCCTTCCATTTCAGTTCTATGCAGTTGCTACATTTCTATCAACAAAACTGTCATCTCTGGTAACTCTGACAGTTAATACATGGGGGAGATACAAACTAAAAAAAAAGCTCAAGGACTGGCTTTGTTTCTTCTTTCCCAGAAGGTGGTCATGCAATCATTGCATTCATCATAGACTTTTTGAGCACAGACAGCATGGACTGTATGTGCATATACCTGGCCAAATCCTTACCTGCTCATGAACTTACCAATCAAAGTCTGGCATATTACATCTAGAGAATGTGACTAGTTTTAAAATGCAGCTTAATTCTGATTAGCGATTGCTTTATTTTTTCTTGAGGTTCCTTTTTTGTTTTTCATTGTGTTAATTCAAAAGATGGAAAAGATTCGGTAAACTGACAACACTGATAGCTCAGCAAGTGTGCTGAATGTCAGACTGAGATCTTCCCTGCTGTACTGTATAAACCAGAGTATTTGTGTGAAATCTGTTTCAAATGGTAAACAAAGTTGTCTTGTTGTTGTAAATAAGGAGGAATAAGAATTGTTAGTGGTGATGTGAAGTGGCATGCCAACATACTGCAACTAAATGCAGTAAGTTTTGCTTTGTGTTGTCAGTTTGCATTTTAATGCACTGCACTGAATGCTGTGCACCTGTATGAGCAGCCAAGCATTTGGAAATGTGTCCTAGTAACTCAGTCACGTATTCATCCCAGAGGCATGAATTCAATTAACAGTGTTCATAGTTTAATACGTTTGTGTATTTCTGCTACTGAATTGCTTGAGTTGGATTTCTGAATAGAGAACTAGTGGAAAAAACCTAGCATAAAAGGTGAAAGAGATTGAAGAGGAAAATGGTAAAGATCAATGTGTGTGACTCTGACCAATGTTGTTCTGTGCAGCTTGGCATTAACAAAGCTGGATATTCTGGATGTCCTTGATGAGATTAAAATTGGCGTTGCTTACAAATTGGGTGGAAAAAGAATTCCATATTTTCCAGGTATGTTATTCGGTGCATATTTTTGTTTTTTGGCATGTGTTGGGAAAGACTCTGTTTTGTTTTTGTTGTTTTTTTGTTTTTTTGTTTTTTTAGATCGGGCTTAATTTCTTTTTTACTGGATCTTGTGTAGGAGTTATACTGTGTGCACATCTGAACCCAAAAATGGAACTACTGCAAACTTCAAATAATTTCAATTCTAAAAAATACTGATGTAGTTTTCTGGCAACATAAAGCACATTCGAAAGTTTTGACAAGGAAACTGAATTACTGGATCCTTGAATCAGAAGTTATCTTCCTAAATAACATAGATAAATCTCAATTAAGAATAAACTAATTATCCCATTGGTAGACATACTGTGGGTGTCTACTTTTCACATTTTTTTTCCTCTTCCATCAGATTTTTAACAAAAATTCTTGGTCAGCAACCATAGGTGTGCTCTTTTAGGGTGGAACAGGTAAATTCAACTGTGATTAAAAATTGTTCTCCCACAGCAAATCAGGAGATACTGCAGAAGGTGGAAGTAGAGTATGAAACGATGCCTGGGTGGAAGACTGACACAACGGGTGCACGAAAATGGGAGGACCTTCCAGCCAAGGCCCAGAATTACATTCGATGTGTGGAAAACCATGTTGGAGTGCCAGGTAAATCTTAGGCAGATGCAGCTGTGGCAATGCAACAATACACAGAAGAAGTTACATAGAAGTGCTCACTTCTTTGGCCAGAAATTGGCCTTATTTGGGCAGGAGATGATGGAAGCATCTGTGGTTGGGCTGGTGATGGTAAACAACACTTTGCCAAGAAGCTGCAAGAAGTTTTATTCTGCACCATGCCTCCCCTAGCTAATGTCTTCTTTTCACTTCCTGCACTGCATCTCTGGATACATGGCTATTGAAACCAATTCTTCCACTTAGGAAACTGAAAATCTTAATCTCTGATCAATCTCTGAAGGTTAATCAATCCGCTTTTCTTCGGATGAATTGCTGGAGATCTCGAGATGCCAGGGGTTAGGTGTGGCATGAGCACTAGAAGGGAATTTCTGCCGCAGCAAACTTGAGAGGCTACCATGTGGGCTGTTGTTTTCCATAAAGCTCATCAAAAGTCACCTCTGAGGGTGTAAGCTCTGTGCAACTGTGGCAATACCAGTGTTTTTCATAGATTAGAAAGTGCCTTATAGGAAAGCCTGAAGCTCAGTGCATGGTGATGGGCACAGATTTGGTGATGGGATACATAAGCAGAGCTCCCCCTGTTTTATTTCTCCGGCTGTCAGTGTGAAGGCATGCAGCCTTGGTGGAGCCAATGGCTCAAGGAGGCACACCTCATGATTTCTGTAGTATCCATGCAGTAAAAAGTGAACAGTTGTGATGTAGTATTTAGGGTGGCTGCTCCCACTGGATAGTGGGAGTTCTTAATTGCAGCCTTGTATTTAACAGCACTATAGTGTGTGCACATTGTTCTCTCCTGATCTCCTTTACAATCTGACAGAGCTTTTGCTTTCTGTAGGGGTTTATCTAGACGTCCTATTACTGAAGTTAATGAGTGTCAAACCTACAGTAAAAGTGCTTGACCTTCTGTTAGGTATTCCATTGGCAGTGCTTTGTGTTTATAACACAGTTCTGTGCTTTCAAACTTCAGCGTATTGCACTGTGGTGTGGTAATACAGCAGGAGTAAAGTGATTTTGGATAGCAAAACTTCCTAGCAGTGCATTTCAGCACACAGTTGGCTGATTTGCACTGAAGCACAATAAAACACTGCAATTTACTAATTTTTCTAATATTTTTTTTCTTCCCTAGTCAAATGGGTCGGAGTTGGAAAATCAAGAGAGTCAATGATCCAGCTGTTTTAAGCAAAGGAAGAAGTTCAGTGATCTGAAGCACAATTCAGTGTTTGCTTGTTCCTTACTGTTTCCTCTTTAAATAGAGATGCTATTTAAAACCAACATGTTCTTCTAGGAATTGAATAGAAACAAAATACCTATCCTGTATTGTAACATTTTATTTATCTTACGTGTCTCGCTAATTTCAGTGTAAAATCTGTTTGGTGGCCATCATCAGAAAGAAGAAATCAAAACAGTGCATAACAAAATAAGGAAAAGATCAGATCCATATATTTTTTTAAATTTGAGACATTACTATTTGAAAGTATTTTACGTCAGAATAGAGTTATTTCTTCTTGATGAAACTGGTATTAAGATTTTTCCAGTAATTACTGGGTGATTTTAGAGTTGCGAAGATTGAATTTTTTTCTTCCACTTCAAGTGTTAAAATAGGTCTTTGGGTTGGCAGCAATAAGACATATACAGTGTTCTTGGAGTGGTAGGATTATGCAGATTTTCAGTTTGTGAAACACAGTAAAGTGAGGTATTTCTGACTGTGCAAAGCAAACACAATTATCTATAATTTTGATATAACTATTTTTTATAGCCCACTGAAATGAATGGAGAGAAGCTAAAATATTTTTTTTAACACAGAGCTTATTCTAGTCACTGAAATAACATCTGCAGAGGGGCCAAACTGGAGAAGGTGGTCTAATAACTCTTTTAAATATCCAATGTACAAACAGGCAATCCTTGAAGAGACTGTCAGGTGTGCAGTCTTTGTTTTAAGCAGTAGGGAAGGAGTGAATGACAGTGGAAGGAAGAGAGTCCTCGGGGTGCAGAACTTGTAAGGAGGGTGCAGCCAAAACAACGTGCAGTGGTTTAGTGAACCTGAGACGTTTCTTCCTGCTCATGCAGTGATTGTGATTTCCAGAGTTTTACTGTAAGTGTCTGTTGAGGAACTTGGGACTTGCAGCTCTGTGTGGCACACTTGCTTCTACAGCTCCCATGTTTCCCAGAATAAATCAATGCATGACTTAACGATGACTGCTGTGGTATTTACACCCCTCGCACATTTTGACCTTCCTCAGCAAAATGTAATACCTAATTATAGAAGGGGATGACATGTGGCAGCCAGGCTTGTGACATGTAGAAGCCATGGAGAGGTCCCCAGAACCTTCAAGAATACACTTGGATTTCTTTGTGGGTCTTCTAACTTTTAGTAGTTAAGCAGCAGGAGCTCTCAAAAAAGGCCTAGAGGAAGAATATACTAGAAGCCAACTTATTCCATAACTGAAATCTTCAGAATAGATGTTTCTTTTCTACGTATGTCTCAGAGAGCTCTAACAATATTTTTGTATCATTCCCATAGGCTGTGGAAAAATGGCATCACAACCTCAGTAGTGCCATTGTGCAAAGTGTGAAAATACCCCTTTTGAGATAATAACTCAAAGGATACAGAAGGATAACATTCTTTGCCTAGGAGAATTCATGGCCCAAAGCTGTGAATCCTGAATTCAGACAGAACTCCTCTGTTAGTCTTTGGCAAGTCATTTAATTTCCCTGTTACTGTTTTGCAGTCTGTAAAATGTCACATGGTAAAACTTCCTCACCTGTTTTACAGTGTTGTGGGGAGCTCTGTGGCTCAAATCTGCAGTCCTCGTTCTAACATAGATGAGGCAGCTCTACCCTTCATACTGATGAGAGTTAAAATGAAAAAGATTTCTGACCTTATTTAATGTTTATGAAGCACTTCTGGCAGGTGCTTGCTAAGTGCTAATTAGTACAAGCACTGTGAAATGTACCTCATTTATATGAGGCAATTTAAGTGTAAAGGTTTTTGGAGATATAGCAATAGTTCCATTTTCACGTAGCTTCACCATGTGACATTTACCTACTGGATTAACCTGACGTATTCCTTTTCTTGGCCCCACTTTCATGGGTGCATTTGTGTTGGGGATGGCCACTGTATTTAAGCTTTAGTTATATATAGACCGAGTCCACAATGACTGCAAGCCACTCTGTTTACTGAATAACTGGATTAAATGATCAACTCTGAATGATGTAAGTGGCATATTGAAAATGAGGATTTATAGCTTAATTTTCACAGGATTACTGTCTCTTGTTCACCTAATCTTTTATTTTCCACTAAGTATTTTTTTCCATTAAGTGTCAGATCCACATTGCTTGTATTTGCTTTCAGGGATTCATTGAAGCCCCGGTGATGTTGTCAATGGACTTGATACTGTAGGCAATAAAGTAATAACTGTGCATTTCATTTCACAGCATGGATTTTCTAAAATGAAATCTCCTATTAAATTTTACTTGTGTTGTCGTTAAGCATGAATGCATTCAGTTTTTTATCACAAAGCTGTTGAACCTACTGAGTGACGTAATGGTTGGTAAGAACATTTAAATGTAAATTTGCATTCAGTTTAGCTGTTTCCCATTATTTTATGGATTGTATTGTTTGAAAATTGATTTTATTAACAGTCACTGTGACAAATTTGGCCTCTTCTTCCTTCCCAGCCAAGTGCAATAATAATGAGTGGAATTGGTTGATGTGTCATCCCCTATGGTGTCCTGATGGAAGGCTAAGGGTAAATGTCTGCCAAAGCAACATAATTCATTGTAAAAACTACAGCATGGTTTTTAAAAGGTAGCAATGACTGATTCACTCATGCACATTAATGTGTTCGACATAGGTACTCACACTTCTCCTTGATAACATGGCCTTCATAGTCAGATGTGTGTGACTTAATACATGCGGTATAGGATTTTGAAGCTTTTGTAATTTTTAATTTGACTGTATATGGTCTTACAGTTCTGGCATGATGCACTTTATGAAAGGAAAGAAAACCAAGCATTTCCGTAGTAACGTGCGATCTATGCTCACATCTTTCCCTCTGTGCAGATATTTCAAGTGAATTTTGGATCCACACCTGTTATTTTGTCCTGAAAAACACATTAAAATGAATTTAAAGTAACAGTGCTTGCTCCCTGTTTCTCTCTCTTTGTCTTAGCAAAATGCACTTTGTAGAAAAACCTTTCTTAATGTTACACGGATTTGAAAAACTAACTGTCAGTATTACTGAAAGAATTGATATTTTCTTTCAGTCTCTGAACAAAAGGTTTTTAGTGTTTGGACTTTTTAATGTGCTCTGTAAACTGTATCAGTCTCCTGTTTTTTCCATAACAGATGGCTTGGAATAACTAAAGTAATTTCACATAGCTCTTCAACAGCACTGTACTAGAAAAGAATGGTAGGCCCTGACTCAGATAGCATTATTATCACCTTCACAATGTGGAAGAGCTTCAAACAAGTCCTGTTAGGGCTTTTCAGAAGTCTTGATAGAAATTACTCTTTCTCTCATCCATTCTAGAAAAGAACAGCAGGTAAGCAGCCTGATCAATAAGCAAGAGCATGTTAGTACACATTTTACAGCAGTGTCCGTGAGTTGTATGAGAACTGGACTGTTATTGACTAATGTTTCTTCATTTCTTTTGCATCAGCTATATATAAACTCATGTACAATGATCTTTCATTGGTAGCTGAAGTGTCTGAAGCAGTTTGATTGAACACCGTGTGACACTAACATTGTTCAAGGCAAAAGGGAAAAAAACAGCACCAACCAAGTATGTATATCTGCTGAAATTACCCAAATTACCTACTGGGAAGACACCCTGTTTTGTTGCTGGTCCATCTGTTCTATGTCAGCTGGAGAACAGTCTTGAGGCTGAGAGGGAGGAAAGAAGGTAGGCAGGGTGGTAAAAATGGGAACAAAGGCAAGATTGACATCTTGCCTTTCTAGTGCTGCAGTTACTACTTCCTTATTCCTACTCACTTCTAGTAGTTTATGTGAGGTCAAGCCCTCTCCCTGTAGCTCGTGGAAGTGGCTCACCTTCCTGTACAGTAACAAGTTTCATTTCCATCAGGGGGCCGATTCCAAGTTCCAGATGTTGGCAAAATGATGAGCTGACATAACCCTTGTAGCTAGGCATCAGGCAAGAGGGAAAATACAGCTTCAGATATGTTATCTATAGAAGAGATCCCTATTTGTGATACAGGCACTGTGTTAAGTGAGTACCTGGTGGATTGTTGGCTGCTGAATTTGGATGAGTTTGTTAGTGGATGTCACCAGTCCAGAAGAGGATGCCTGAGATGTGAAGCCTGCATGGCCTTCACTGTACTACACAGGATTTATGGTGCAGCCTACTTCGTGGAGGTGAGAACTTTGTTCTTTCTTTTCCAAACAAGTGTGTGAAAAAGAAGTGTTGGTAGGGAACAACTGGCAGAAATTCCTTTCTGCTGCTTTTACTCTTGTGTGGGCCTGAACTCTTCCTTATTTGTCCAAAGTGAAATATTGTCCATGTGGTATCAGTCATAGTGAGGTACTGAAGTAAAACCTGCAGAGGAGTTTCAAGACTCTGCCATTTAACCTATATGCTCACAAGAAATTAGTTGTTGAAGCACCTTTGTGCATTGTTAATATCTGTTCATTTCTGCAGTATTTGCATTAACTATTGGCTCACCAGCCCTGTGAGACTGACCAGAAGATGAGGAAAGAAAAAAAAGCAGACATTCTGTGAACACATGCTGTTTATAACCTCCTTTAATGCATCAGGTTTTGGCCAGCAGCTGCACTTTGCAGTGGTTGGAAGTAGGATGCACTTTAACACTGCACAAATGTCTTTGGCAAAGAGATGTCTTTCTCAGGAAAAAGCACTCGTGTGTTTGAATGTTCTTGAAGTGTTGAGGTACTGTACTCTTCATTTGGCAGGCACTGCCTTTTGGAAGTTGAATAAGTACGCTGCGTTGCAGGCCTCCAAATAGTGCTTCAAACAACAGTGTTAGGTTTTGGAGATACCTTCCCAGTGCTTTGATAAGTGACAGAGTAGTTTTGGTGGCAGCTGAAACCCTTAGAATACTCAGGGCAAAAGTACTAGCGATTGAAATTGTTTCTTTTGAAGTGCAGAACAGCCACCTGTATGTGCCTTCACAGGAAAGGTGGCACTGTGCATCTTCATCTTCTCCTTTATTGGATAAAACTTGCAGGGCTAACTGAACCTAATTCTTCAAGTGTGTGGAAATGACATTTGCCAGTGAGGTTTGTGGAAGCCCAGATGGCCTCTAAATAAAGATTCTCCCATGCAGGGGTGCTGAAGTGAGCCTTTGGGGCACCTAACAAAGTCATGAAGTTGATAAATACAGAGTATTACCATTTCTGTCACATAAAAAGATATTTAATGCTGTTCTTTGCTTCTGAAGTAGAAAGTCCCAGTCACAGACCTGCTGTACTTAGAGTGATGTTTCCACTGGGATTCATGAAGTGGTACAGTGCTCTGCCATGCATGGGAACCTGTCCTTTGGCAAGTGAAAACATTTTGAATTGGGAGAAATGGGAGAACAGAGTAGGACGCAGCTGGCTGAGAAGCAGCTTCACTATGTAGTACCTGCGGTTTACAGCAGATGCCAGGCTGTATGAACCAACAGTGCATTCACATTTTGAGTAAAGCAAACAGCATACTGGCATATACCAGAAGGACAGTCACCAGGAGCCAGAAGGACATTAGTTCCAATTGCTCGTGCTGATGAGTTGCTCGACTCATTCATGCTGAATATCCATTCTTTTCCACTGGTGTTTGTTGGAATGGCATGTTTTGTGTCCTGGGTAAATGGGTGAAGAAGAAAAGAAGAATCAAGCAGGATGATGTGCCATGCTTATTTTAAGAATCGGCCTCGTTGCAGATGAGAGTAGCAATAGTCCCAGTGCACAGTGATGGTACATCAGTACTATGGTTATAACTGTACTGCTTAATTAGTGCACGACAGCATTAAAATTTGGCAGTGCTGCTCAAATTCTGAACTTTGCATTTTGTACTTCAGCTTTCTTCTGCTTCGCTTATTCCAGCCATGAAAGCCATATGCAGAATACAGAATCCAGACTACCAACCCTTAAATTGCCAGCATAATTTTTTTCACTGCCTCCTTTAGTAGTATTATATTTTGTGTTCTCACATAAACTTGAAAGACTAGAAACATTTATTCCTGCCTTGCAATTGCATACACTGATTCTTTCAGAATTCTGGAATGCTTTATATATATATACTAACAGAGCTGCAGTCAAGTCTGTGTCAGATGAAATACAGTTTGAAGACATGTATTGGAGTTTTTTGAAGTTTACAAAAGGTATTACTTGATGTTCTCAAACAGTGGTAAGATTCTCTATCACTTCTATAGAAGATTACTAGAAAAGGTAAAAAGGAAATCAAAACCGTGATTTAGCTTAGAATTTGGTCTACTGATTGTAAGTTTATGCATTAGGCAAACAAGAATTTACCTTCAGTGATCTCTACTTGCCTCTACTGAGTAGCTGGGTAAAAAAGCATCTCCAATTTGGCAGAAGAACTTAAGTGGGAGTAAAACAACAGCAATGTTCTGCGTAACAGTGCTGGGTGCTGAACTTAGCTGAAAGAGCTACCAGGATCTGGGACAAGCAGATGGGGGGCAGTGAATTTTGCAGGCTACTCTTCCATTGTCTGTCAGTTATTTAGTGTCAACCTTACAGTTTTATCTTTGCATAGGTTTTAGTGGTCGTGTATTTAATATGGTAGCTTCTTGTCGAGTGTAGGTAGCGATAAAGAAACAGGATTTGAAACAAAGACAGTACTGAATATCTTTGCTGTCACTCTGGAGATTTTCCACATCTCGAGGATGGGATGCAGAAGATGCAGCAGAAGAATGCAGTGTTGTCTGTCATGTCAGCATCTCTGAAAATTCCATGCATACAAATGGCAGGAACACACTGAGCAAAAATATATAGAATGTAATACTTTGTAATACAAATTTTACATAGTCACAGGGAAGAAACAGGAGATGCTAGCTAAGGTATTACAAATAGGAGACTTTTTGTCTATTAGAGGTAGATTTGCATTAGACTACCTGATTAAAAGACAGTGCTGGTACTGATGGTAGTCTGAACCCTACATAAAATGTACCGATGATTTCCATGCTGAGGAAACATGCCAACAGCATGCAAAGTCTATTAATTGGCACCCTGGGTGGTAGGCCTAGTACCAAACATTGCTTTTATAGCTTATATCACACCACTCGTGCAGGCTGCTCAGCAGAGAGCGCAGAGATAGAAGGAGTACTTTGAAGGCCTCCCAGATGTAAACAGATTTCCATCTAAAAGGCTGCACTAAGAGTTTCCACGTTAGCCCTAGTGATGGCTGCTGTGGCTGTGGCATGTTTCCTGGCACTGCTTGCACATTCACTTTGCTCTGTACAGTTTCTGTACAGAGACAGAGATCTTCTCAATCCAGGACTGACAAGACGCACATATTTAAAATAAATACATTCTGTGAGCTGCTGCTGTGGAAACGTCTGTAATACACAGTGAGTGCAGAGAAGCAGCTTCTTTGCCAATGCATGCTGGCACTGCCCTTTTGAGCTGAATGGATGAACCTTGAGTTATTCCAGATGGCTGTTTTAGGAGCTGTCTTGTAGCAAGAATTCATTCCACAGCAAAATAAAAAGACTGGATGCAGACTGGATATAGTCACAGTGTGGAGACAGAAGGGTTTTCCTGGAGCTCCCCATGCTGTGTGAGGAAGATGATGCTTTCATCTGTGTGAAACTAGCAAAAGGGCAGAGGTACCTGTAGCCTCTCCTACACAAATCCACACTCAGTAGCAGAACAGCACTTTCTGGACACAGAATTCTTTGGATGATCACTTAGAATTAAATGAATAGGAACGTTGTCACCTATAGTGGAAGAAATCAGAATACCCTGTTTCTGGTAGGTGTGAACGTGGGGCTTTTTTCACATCCAGACCTTCATTCAACCTGGCACAAGGAGTGGTTGTATGCCACAGTATTAAATCTGCCCAGAACACATGGACATACGTTGCTGGTGGATACTTCATTCAGTATCTGATGTGAGTAGACTCTGTTTCATACCCAGCTGTATAGTTCTTGGGATTG